TAACTGAAAGCCATTTTTTTCTCTTGATAATTTCCCCTTGCCCTGCCCCAGCCCAGCTGGGATTTTCCTCTGGACTTGATTTTTTGGTCCTGATAACTCTTCCATGTACATACACGAGCTGGCAGATGTCAAAGTGGTTTTGTTTTGTTTTGTTTTTTGTTTTGTTTTTCCCTGCCCTCACTTGTGTCTGAGGTGGGCATCATTAATATGCAGGTCCCTTCCCTGAGCGAGATGTGTATTCCTGGGTCACCTCCTGTGTGTTCTTGCTTACCCCTGACTCCAAAGAGATGCCTCCCCACCCAGCTGCGAGCCGCTTTCCGACACCCCTCTGGCTCAGCTCTGTCATGGGCAACCTTCGTAGGTTGCAGTCTTTTCTCTAAAATGCAGTTATGGGGGGCACCTGGGTAGCTCAGTCGGCTAAGCACGCCAATCCACTCAGGTCACGATCTCGAGGTTTGTGAGTTCCGGTCCCATATTGAGGGGTCTTCACCGACAATGCTTGGGATTCTCTCTCAAAATAAACTTTAAAAATAAAATAAAATGCAGTTAGGATCGCATGGACGAACCCTCGCAGGTCTAAGCGATTAGGGCTCCTCCACTCACACAGGGATGCGGAGACCCCTGTTTCTCCCCGGGCCCTGGGGTGTGTCCCCCACTATTATCTGCTGTTCAGATCCATCCTCTGTCCCAACCCCACGGGATCTTTTTGTGCCTGGCTGACCTGGGCTCGAAAGTCACGAACAGTTGATCTCCATAGAAACTACAACTTCCATCAGGCACTACTTCAGCGGAACAGGAAAGGATGTGGGGGCGTGGCCCCAACGCCCTGGTAGCTCGGAAGACAAACTACAACCCCCAGGACAGCGCGAGATCTCAGCAGAGGGAAGAGTGACTGAGCTCTGGCTGGAGGCGAGGCCGGCCCGGAACCACCAGGCCGGCCGCCAGAAGGGGGCGTGGTCGCAATGGGGGGCGTGGCCCTAGGAGCTACAGGAAGAAGACACCTGTGGAGCCTTTCCATCCGTTCCCTTCCCAGCCCTCGCAGCTGCCCCTGAGAGGGAAGCCGCAGGCCACAAGCCTCTTCCCTTCCCAAATAGGTGAGTGGAGGTAGACAAGGGGCGGCGGCGGAGACTATTTCATCCCGCAGGAGGGGCCTAACGGCTACTTTTTACCTGCTGAGTCAGGTGAGCCGCTCCACGGGGGCGGGGACCAGCGTGTGGGAAAAGGGCAACGCCGGAGGAGGTATTTACTGGTTCGTTTTCAAGACTAAATTTAGAGCCCTCCATCTGCAGACCCATTGACGAACTGTGCTTGGGCTCGCTCCACCTGGGGACGCGAGAAGAACGCGGGCGACTTTTTGGCAGCAAAGGAACGGCCCGTCTAAGCTTCCTCCCGTCCGTGTTTTCCCCTAGCCCCAAACGATTGAGCTGCATGGCTTCCGCGGTCTGGGGGAGTGCGCCCTGGTGGGGCCCGCCGCCCCCAGCCCCCGCCCGGCCGCTCACGGACATCGACTTTTGCTCTGGGGCGCAGCTGCAGGAACTAACCCAGCTGATCCAGGAGCTGGGTGTGCAGGAAAGCTGGAGGGACGCGCCCAAGCCGGGGCCAGACCTCCTCCGGGCCAAGGACTTTGTCTTCTCTTTGCTGGGTAAGTAACTCTCCCTGCCTTCGGGTGCTCGCGGCTCTCGGTCCCGCCCCGCCCCGCCCCGTCCCGTCCCGGCTTTGGGTCGTGCCCTCCCGATCCTGTCTTTTCTTGTAGGTCTTATTCACCGCCGGGACCCCCGCTTTCCTCCCCAAGCGGAGCTCTTGCTGCTTCGTGGCGGGATTCGCGAGGGCTCCCTGGATCTGGGACCTGCACCCTTAGGTCCCTACGTCCGGGGACCTCATTACGACGCGGGCTTTACACTCCTAGTGCCCGTGTTTTCGCTAGACGGCACCGGGCAGGAGCTGCGACTGGACGTGGACTCCTCTTACGCGTGGCTGTGCCTCCCAGAGCGCATACGCGGAACCTCGGTTCGGGAGGCATGGCAGGATTGCCTAGGACCTCCAGTCCCAGGAGGACGTGATTCCACCCACCGAACCGAAAGTGAAGGAAGTCCCAAGAGCCGGCAAAGCTCCGTGGACCAGCCGCACGGTTCTGTCACTGAGGCTGATCCAAACGTGGCTTTGGAAAAATCACCTCCTAACGTTTCGGGGCAAGAGCCGCCTGGGCAAGGCATCATGGATCTTGGCTTTCCCACCCCGCTGGAAAACCTGAATGGTGACGTCACGAAAGCAGCCGTCGATAGCCCAGGCCCGCAGCAGACGGAGGGGTGGGAGGCATGGCCCACACTTTGCCCCGCCCAGGTGGCCGCGTGGTTCTTTGCCTCACTGGCCGCGGTCGCCGAGTCCCTGTTCCCGGTCCCGGGTGCCCCGCGCTTGGTCCACGCAGCCCGCCACGCGGGGTTCACCACCGTCCTCCTGGCTACGCCGGAGCCCCCGCGGCACCTCCTGCTCTTCGACCTGATTCCCGTGGTGTCGGTGGCCGGCTGGCCCGAGGGCGCTCGGAGCCACTCGTGGGCCGGCCCGCTGGCCTCCGAGTCGTCATCCTTCTACCTGGTGCCCGGCGGCCACAGCGAGCAGCCAGGCGCCTCCGGCTGGCAGCTCTGCTTCGCCCGCCAGGAGCTGGCGCTCAAGGCGCGCATACCCGCTCCGCTGCTGCAAGCGCACGCGGCGGCCCAGGCGCTGCTGCGCCCGCTGGTGGCCGGGACCCGGGCCGCGGCGCCCTACCTCCTGCGGACGTTGCTCTACTGGGCGTGCGAGCGGCTGCCCGCGCTCTATCTCGCGCGGCCGGAGAACGCGGGCGCCTGCTGCCTCGGGCTGCTGGATGAGCTGGGCCGTGTGCTCGAGGCCGGGACGCTGCCCCACTATTTCCTGAGCGGCCGAAAGCTCCGTGCGGGGGATGGCGCCGCTGGGCTGCTCGGGGCGTTGGCCGGGCTCCGCGGGGACCCTGCCCGGGCCCTGCGCGCCGCGGTGGAGGAGGCCAAGGCTGCGCGCAAGGGGGGCGGCTTAGCCGGCGTGGGAGGCGGGGCCCATTAAAGACGCTGCTCCTACCCGCGTGGAAAGCGCTTCTGTTGGCTGGCGGGGTGTGGTGGGGGGCCGCCGGCCCCTCGCCCGGAAGGCAGGCTGAGCGTCCTGGGCCCGAAGATCAGTCTAGAAGGCTTCCTCGCGGGTCGTTCCCCACCCTCCTGCCCCGTCCCCGGGCCCTGACCTGTGGTCGTCCCACTTCTGGCCTCTCTGCTCCTCAGATCTGTGGCGGCCAGCACCCCTCCCCGCCCGGTGCTTCCTCAGGCAACCATCTTCCCCAGTTCTTATGGTCTTTTCTCTTAGGAGTCAATAGGGAAGGGGGAGGGGGGCATATTGCTGACAAAACGCAGAAAGAAGGCACGGAGACCAGGGACTGACCAATCTGGCTCCCACAAAATCGGAGATTAAGAAGGCCGGATTCGGCCCCAGGCTAGACCTCACCACCACCTCTACCTACTCTCCCCCACTTTCCCCCTTCAGTTCTGCCCTCCCATCCGGGGCAGTAGGGTCCCCTTCTCCATTCTCCCAGCGTCCGCCATTCCATCCATCTTAAGCCCAACCTCTCCTCCCATCCAGGGATCCGCTCAGTGGAGTCGCCTCCTTGCCCCTCCTCCTCTGAACCCCAAGACGTGCGGCCTTGCCTCGGCTCCGCCTGCCTCTGAGACCGTCCCCACTCCCTGCCTCCGAGGAACCCCGGGGTTCCTCCCGCCCGGCTTCACCCCCCCCCCCTCCTCCTTCCCGGCGTCTCCGCCCCCTGCCCCGCCCCCGGGCCGGCTCTCGGAGGAGGGGGAGCCGCTGTCGCCGCCGCTGCCTAGCTCCCCACTGCCGCTGCCGCTGCCGCCGCCGCCGCCGCCGCTCTGCTGGGTCCAGCCGCCAGGCCCGGGGCTCTGACTTCGCCGGACCAGGGCGCTCTGCGGAGACACCCTCCCTCGTTCCTGGGGGTCCGGGGCGCCTAGCCCGGCGTGGAGGGAGGCTCCGCTCGCGAGGGACAGGGAGGGAGGAGCCCGGAGCCGGAGCCAGAGCCACCCGTCGCCGGATCAACAAGACAGGACAGGTTGAGGGGCGTCGGGGAAGGAAGAGGGTGCTATAGGCTGTCCCGGGGAAGCCCTGTCGCAGAAAGCTCTGACGCGCCCTGACTTGTGGGGAGCCTGTTCACATTCGGGGACTGGTGATAACGTGGGTGCACGCCTCTCGGGGGGCTGGTTGGATTGGAGGGCGTGGGATCTAAACAAGCACCAGCTGTCCCCGAGGAAATTAAGGGGCAACCCGGGGGGGAGGGGGGGCGGGAAAAAACGGATGCTCCTTGTCGCGAGGTGACAGAGGCCCTCCAGACAACCACCTACCTGGTGAACCCACTAGGCAGGGTGGATTTGGAGGTGACTTCAAAAGGAGTGGGGGGTAACAAGGTGAGGAAGGGGGTTCAGCAGCTGGGAACCATGTGAAAAAAGGTATTGCCCAGAGACAGGGTCGGGGAACCCCTAATCGCTGAGCGGGGGACAGCCTGGGCTTCCCCAGACATAGTTTTGGGGGGACTTCAGTGGAAAAAAGTGGGGGACCCACTTAGAAGGTGGCAAAGACGCCAAGGTTGGGTTCCTCCCTGACATTGGCAGTGCCCCAGTAGGGATGAGTCAAAGCTAAGGACCCACACCCTTTAGATTACAAGGGTGGGTTTGGCAGGAGTGCGGGTCCCCAAAATAGGGTGGAAAGGTGCTTCGGGGTATTGCAACCACATCTTGGAAATTTTGAGGGTCTTGACTTTGGGATAAGGGAAGAGGGGCCAGGGACACCGGAGAACAGGGAAAGGGGGTAGTTTTCAGTAGGGGGCAAAAGTCCAGGGTGGGGTCAACAGAGATACGTAGGCTGCTGGGTCCAGTGGGGCTAGCACGGGGCCCAAGGGTGGGAGCTGGCGGCCGAGGGGCGGCGGGGGGGGCAGGGGCCCTGGCGCTTATCCTCAGCTCCAGTGGGTGGGGCGGTGAGTTGGGACCCCAGCGTCAAGAGCATGCCCCGGTGAGCGCGCTGGGGGCGCCTGCCGGTTTGGGGGTGTCTCCTCCCGGGGCGCCATGGCGGCGCTGGCCAGTAGCCTGATCCGGCAGAAGCGGGAGGTCCGCGAGCCCGGGGGCAGCCGGCCGGTGTCGGCGCAGCGGCGCGTGTGTCCCCGCGGCACCAAGTCCCTTTGCCAGAAGCAGCTCGTCATCCTTCTGTCCAAGGTGCGACTGTGCGGGGGGCGGCCCGCGCGGCCGGACCGCGGCCCTGGTGAGTGGCTGGAGCGGGGTCTCCGGGTCTGGGAGGTTGAGGCCAGGGACGCCGAAGGATGGGGCCCGACTGAGGGGGGGCTCCCCGAAAGTGAGAGGTGGGGTGGGCCAGGACGACACAGCTCCTGCCAGACCGTGCCTCAGTTTCCCTTCTCTTTTGCCCATACCCCCGAGTCTCCTTGCTGTCGAGGGCAAGGGGAAGGCTTGAGGGGCTGGGTCTGGCGCTCCGAAGCCTCGCGGCTCCGGCTCGGCCCCCCACTCCTCCCCCCCCACCCCCAACACAGGAGTCCCCACCCCCACCCCCACCGTCCGCCGCCTACGTGCCGGCTCTCGCGATTCTTTCAATCCCGAGCGCAGGGGCCTGGGGGTTCCGGACGCCTGGGTCACCCCGAGGGTTTCTGCAGCTCTGGCAGCCCCGCCCCCGCCCCGGTTCTCCCGCCCCTCCACGCCTTGGCTCGGTTCCCGCTGGCCGAGCCTGCCTGGCGCGGCGCCAATCTCCCCAGCTCTCCCCCGGGTGTCCTTGCAGCTACCTCGCCAGCCCGCCCCTCTGTGCGCCCGCCTCTGTGACCTGCGCTTCGAGAGGGGAGCCGGCCACCCCCCCCCATCACCCCCTACGCGACTCCGAAGGGGGCTCCCACACGATCGGGGGACCCTCCGGCGCGAGCAGCTCCGACCCAGTACAGGGCTGGAGACCCGCTGGGAGACTGGGGGGTCGTACCACCTACAAGGGGGTACAGGGAAGTCGGCCGAGCGCAAGCGACGGGGGAAGGAGAGTTGTGAGGGTTAGCGCGTAGTCCCCGTCCAGGCTCGGCTGGCAGGAGGCCCTCTGGCCCCGCTCCCGCCGACTCCCAGCTCCCCCAGGGGCAGCCCCCTCGTGCCCTCCTCCCCCCGCCGCCGGCCCTCCGCTTGGTACGGTCCGCAGCCCACCCTCTGAGTGGGACCCGGCCCCCACGTGACTCAGCCTGCCTCGCCAGCTCCCGGGCCCCCTTCTCCGCTTTCCTCGCTTTGGTACCGCACGTCCCCCACCTCAGGCGGGTTACCTGGCTGAAAGGGAGAGGCTGAGCCTCGGGGAGGGCTGGGCCCCCCGCGAGCCAGCAGACTGATAGACAGACAGACAGACAGACAGATGGGTCAGTGTCAGACAGGCCGGCACTGGGCCAAGGCAAGGCCCGCGCCAAGCGAGCGGCAGCCGCAGCAGCAGGTGCTGAGTCAGCGTCAGCCCCAGCCCCACCCCCACTCCCGAGGGGGCGCCCCTACCCCGTGGTCACCTGGCCGCCCCCCACGGCCGCAAGCACACTGCCCCTTCGGCGGTCCAGCCTGGCGCCCTCCGCCCTCTGCCTTTGGATGGATCTCCCCTTCCTTTTCCAACTCTTCTCCCCTCCCCCACTGGTGGTTGAGCTGTAGGGTAGGAATTAAGCCATTTAAATAAATTTCAATAAATTAAACAGAAAGCTGGGGGTTAGAGGAAGCAGAAGGGCCCCACCCCCCAGCTTCCTCCCGAGTCACAGAGAGGTGGCTGAGAGCGTGCTTAGAGGGGCTGAGGGCTGGGGCCCTGGGACCTGCGTCCTCCCCTCCATTCTCCCCTGGTTCTCTCCTCTGATCCCGCCAAGTGTAGGAATGTTTCTGGGAACAGAGATGTCATTTTCAAAGATGAATGTCTCTCTCTCCAGAGCCTCAGCTCAAAGGCATCGTCACCAAATTGTTCTGCCGCCAGGGTTTCTACCTCCAGGCGAATCCTGACGGGACCATCCAGGGCACCCCAGAGGACACCAGCTCTTTCAGTGAGAGAGGAAGCCAGCTGCTGGGGGGGAGGGGAGGGGAGAGCGGGGCTAGGAGGTGGCCATCCTGTGCCTGCTTCAAGTGCTGTCATTCTCCGTCTGGCTCTTTGACACCCCCCCCCCCCACCACCACCAAGGGAAGCAGGGGAGCCAGGATGGGGGTCTGAGGCTCGGGACACTGATGCCCCCTCTCTCCACCCCCAGCCCACTTCAACCTGATCCCCGTGGGGCTCCGTGTGGTCACCATCCAGAGTGCCAAGCTGGGTCACTACATGGCCATGAACGCCGAGGGGCTGCTCTACAGCTCGGTGAGACACTGAGGCCGAGTGGCCAGGGGATCGCCGGCCCTGCCAGGGCTCCCCAGCTACAGCCTTAACTACCGCTGGGACTCCCTCTCCCTCCAGCTCTTGCTGATGTGCTGTTATTGCCCACCGCAGAGCACCTCCGCTAGGGTCCCTCCCATCCCTGCTGCCTGCGTAGCCCCCCAAGCACCACCAGGCTCTTTGGCCAACTCTTCCGGCCTTTTGGAACTCCTGCACATCCTACTCCCTCCAGATTTCATGGTTACTGAACTTCGCCAGACTCAGCCCGGAGAGGGGCTGGCAAGAGAGGCTGGAAGGAGAGTAGAGAGCAGGTATCTTCTTATTCCAGGCCCCACCCCCACCTCCTCGGTGGGGGGGGGGGGGGGGTGACCAGATGCTCCCTCGTTCCCCCTTTCTCCTAGTTTCTGCACGGAGTAAGAAGTTGGCCCTCCAGCCCAAAACGCAGGGGTTGTATCCTGACTGGTTCTTTTTTAAGTTTATTTATTTTAGAGAGAGAGAGAGCAGGGGAGGGGCTGAGAGAGAGAGAGAGGGAGACGCAGAATCCAAAGCAGGCTCCAGGCTCCGAGCTGTCTGCACAGAGCCCGACGCGGGGCTCGAAATCTCGAGCTGTGAGATCATGACCTGAGCCGAAGCGGGAGGCTCAACCGACCGAGCCACCCAGGCGCCCCCTGGCTGCTTCTTCTGGGGCTCCCTTCTGTGCAGTGATAAGTCTTTTCGTCTCTGTCTCTGTGTGTCTTTCTGGCTCTTTGTCTCGTCAGCCGCATTTCACAGCTGAGTGTCGCTTTAAGGAGTGCGTCTTCGAGAATTACTACGTCCTGTACGCCTCTGCTCTCTATCGCCAGCGCCGCTCTGGCCGGGCCTGGTACCTGGGCCTGGACAAGGAGGGCCGAGTCATGAAGGGAAATCGAGTCAAGAAGACCAAGGCAGCGGCCCACTTTGTGCCCAAGCTCCTGGAAGGTGAGTATGGATGGACTCAAGGAAAGGACGTTGGGGGGAGGGTGCTGGCCTCGATGTGAACATTGAGTGACACACAGCTAAGGTACTAAAGAGGACACCTGTTATGAGGGGTCAAACCAGGAAGGCTCCGGCCCCTGGCCCCTGGGACTTTGGGGAGCCCTTCTCCTGTGGGTTGGGATTCCCAGAGGATGGGTGTTGGGGATGGGAGCCCTTTCAAAGCTGATTCTTCCCACGTCTCTCCGTGCCTAATTCTCCTTCCTGCTCCTCTCTCTCCCCTTCACAGTGGCCATGTACCGGGAGCCATCTCTCCACAGTGTCCCTGAGACCTCCCCTTCCAGTCCCCCTGCCCCCTGAAATGTAGTCCGTGGACTGGAGGCTCCTGGCCCTTGCACGGAGCCAGCCACAGCCACAGCCTGTCTCCCAGCCCTGCTCCCGGCCCCGCCCCCACCCGTGCCGCCACACTCATGCCCTGAGCAGCCAGGTCCCACCAGGTGCTCGATCCTGAGGGAGCCAAGGGGCTGGTTGTGACTCCCCAGGCTTCCCTGCTCCTCGGGCCTGGAAGTTCAGAGAGGGGGAGGCTGACAGTGGTCCTGGCTGATCCCTTCTTTCCTTCCACACTCACAGCCGCGCAAAGCCTTTTCCCAAGAAGGCGCCCGGGTTCCCAAAATGACAGAACCAGGACATAAATATTCCCCACCCCGGGGCTCAGCCAGTTCCTGGAGCCCTATGCCCTTTTCATTGCCACTGAACCATAGATGTATAGGTCTACTGGAGCTCAGGATCAGTTTCCTTTTTTCCCTCCTCCACCTTCTGCCTTGTTCTGGACAGGTTCTGGAACACCAGGCACCCTAGCCAGGGCCCTTTTTGCACTCAGGCTCTGGGCTGGATCCATCAGGCTTCTGTCCTTGACCCAGATGGACCCCCTGGTTTCCAGGTAGAGAGGGGCTGGGTATGAGCCCTGTCCAGCTGCTGGCCTTGGCCTGAACTAGGACCGGTCCCAGAACACCACAGTTTTAACTTTCTTATCCCAAAGACACCCACTGCTAGAGCATGGTGTTCTAGACACATATGGAGCCATACTTCCTCCTGAATCTCGGCTCTAGGACGTAGACCAGGACTCAGCCCTTTCCTCCAGGATGGAAACGAGGCCTGAATAGCCATAGTAATGCTCATACAGAGGAAGCTCTAGACCCATCCTCCTACCTTCTCTAGTAATGCGTTTCTTGGTGAATCAAGAAACACTTCTTGTTTTTCCTAGGTTTTCTAAAAATCTGATTCTTCCTATAGAATGCTAACCTTATTTATACATGCAGTTTCTAGCTCCTGCAACTCAGCTGGGGTCCCGCCGGGGAAACAGAGTCTGAGGAAGGGCAGAGGAGTTTGGGCAGGAATCCTTGGCTCATAGTAGGGAGGTTGGGATGAGCAGGGGGCCACAACCATGGCTTGTTTCGGCTGTGCTTGGGTTTGGGGGGGGGGGGAACATGAACACTTAGCTACCTCAGCAGGAATTCCTCCCAGGTCCCCTTTAAAGCTGAGGTCTTTAGGGTAATGAGTCTAGAATAAAAAGGATAAGAGGAGGGACACAACCTTGATCCCCCAGTGCAGAGACCCCAGTTCAGCAATAAGTTCCACCCCACTCCCCTACCAATCAGGCCAAGGAGGGCGAGGGCCTCTCGGGGCTCTAGACCTCATATACCCCCAGAGCTTCTAACTGACTAGAACTTGCTTAACTTACAGCTTATAACCTCAGCTAAGTTTTAGGTACCCAAAAAGGACCTGACTAGATTTTCCCAAAAAAGCGTGGAGAGCTTGGGGCAGGCCTGGAAAAGACCAGGAAGCCACCAGTGACTAGGAGGGACACTCTGAGTAGCCTCAGACCTGGGCAGGGTAGAGGAGAGGGCCCTAAAGGGAGGGGCTGGGGCTCAGAGGCTGGTCACTTTTCCTCAGGCTCTATTTCTGGCTTGTTGCAAGAGGGGTGCATATTCCCCTCACCCACACAGACCCCGCTCAGGCTCCACCCGTCTCCTGGCTCTGCTCCCAGGGGACAGGGTCTCCACTCCATGCTTTCTCAATTAAAGACGATTTGTACAACGATTTACACGTTGTCTGTCATCTGTGGGTGGCGGGCATTGGCAGTTGCTTGGGGCGGGACCAAGTCCCAGGGGCGGGGCGGGTGGGCTGGCGGCTGCCCCCCAACAACAGGTGCACATTCCTGGGCGCCTCGTCACTTCCCCTGCGCTGGCGAACGGAGCGAAGTCACTGAGCTACGCGGCCGGGCTATGACCTCTGGGGCGCTGCTGCTGCTGCTGCTGGGGGCGCTGGGGGCGCCGCTCGCCCCGGGTAAGTGCGGGCCTCAGAGGAGCAGTGACAGGACCAGGGGTCGTGGCAGGGCACGGTGGCTTCACTCAGTGCCCTCCTCTTCCAGGCGCCCATGGCTCGGAGGCGGAGGGCCGGCTCCTCGAGAAGCTTTTCTCGGGCTACGATAGCTCGGTGCGGCCGGCGCGGGAGGTGGGAGACCGTGTCGGGGTCAGCATTGGCCTCAGCCTGGCGCAGCTCATCAGCCTGGTGAGGGCGCACGCAGGGGTTTGAGGTCCGACTTGCGGAACGGCTGGGGGCGTGGCCTGGGGCGTGGCCGTGGCCTGCTGGGGGCGTGGCCAGGCCGGGAGATAGGCCGTGAGCCGAGATTGGGTCGAAATCGGGCCAATGGACAAGCTGTGGGCGTGGCCGCCGGACAGGCCAGGGGTGGGGCAGGCTAGGGCGGCGAGCCGGGCTGCGGGCGGATCCTGAAGTGAAGCCCGGACTCCACGGCGCGCTGGGGGGCGGGTCTTGAGGCGGGGTCGCAGGCTGGGGCGGAGCTTGGTGCGGGACCGGGTCAAGAGACCACAGCGGCTGGAGATGCAGGGTTGGGTGAACTGCAGGCTGTGGGCGGGGCCGGGGGTGGGCGGACTGGTAGATGAATTGGCTGGCCGGGTAGACGGCCGGAAGTTTCTGAGATAGAGGCGGGGCTCAAACCAGGGCAACATCTTGGAGGCAGGGCTTGGACCCGAGAGAGTGGGACTCCGGAAAAAGAGGGGTTTCCAGAGGGAGCTTGACCCTCCGAGCCCCTTCATTGCTCTCTATTCACGTCACCTCTACCCTTGAAATTTTTCCCTTCTAGAACGAGAAGGATGAAGAGATGAGCACAAAGGTGTACTTAGACCTGGTACGGAGACCCCGTGGGGTGGGAAAGGGCGTCCCGCTGCCTTTACAATTTCCTCCAACGTCCCGCTCAGTAAAGAGTATTATTTCTAAGAATCACGACCTCGGAGCACATGACCCAAAGGGAAGCTTCAGGAAACAATACGTATATTTACTATGAGAGTTGCATTCCATATTCTAATTTTTTTTCACACTTTGGGTACACCAAGTTTTTTATTTATTTCTGAGAGTGTGTGTGCACAAGCAGGGGAGGGGCAGAGAGACAGAGAGAGACACAGAGGCGGAAGCAGTCTCCGGGCTCTGAGCGGTCAGCCCAGAGCCTGACGCGGGGCTGGAACTCACGAACTGTGAGATCATGACCTGAGCCAAAGATTGACGTTTAACTAAGCCCCCAGGGGCCGCTTATTTGATTCCAGACACGCTGAAGGGTCGACAGCTGTAGTTTGAAAAACACTGTTTTAGTGGCTAGCTAGTGCCACCTGCTCAGTGGGGGAGGGGGAAATTAGCCGACGGGGTCCCAGCCAGTAAAGGTGCAGCCGGGATCAGAACCCCGACTTCCAGAACCCTAGTCCCTGCCTGCCGGCTTCCCTCCCTGGCACTCCCTTCCCGGGCTTCCTTCGGCCATCCCCAGTCCCCTCCCAGCCTCCAGCCCCGGACAGCCCCTCGGCCTCTGCTTCCACAGGGGTGGACTGACTACAGGCTGAGCTGGGACCCCGCGGAGCACGAGGGCATCGATTCACTGCGCATCGCGGCTGCATCCGTGTGGCTACCGGACGTGGTGCTCCTAAACAAGTAGGGTCTTCCCAAAGACCGGGAGGGGGGCGGGGTCGCCGAAGGGCGGGGTCTCCGGAGGGCGGGGTCCTGATCCTGGCAGCTGAGAAGACCCTTCACCCGCAGCAACGACGGAAATTTTGGCGTTGCTCTGGACTTGAACGTGGTTGTGTCCTCCGACGGCTCCGTGCGCTGGCAGCCTCCAGGCCTCTACCGCAGCAGCTGCAGCATCGAGGTGGCCGGGCTCCCCCTGGGAAGCTCAGGGCTCACAGAAACCTTGCTTCTCCCCAGAGGCTGACGCCCCTCCCTCCTCCCATATGCCCTCAACCTCACATCTCTCCCGCCCTCCTGATTTTCCGTTGTTGTGTGTGTGTGTTTTTTTTTAATGTTTATTTATTCTTGAGAGAGAGCCAGAGAGAGCCAGAGCGTGAGCGGGGGAGGGGCAGAGAGAGAGGGAGACACAGAATCTAAGCAGGCCCCAGGCTCTGAGCTGTCAGCACAGAGCCTGCCCGCAGGGCTGGAACCCACAAACCACGTGATCGTGACCTGAGCTGAAGTCAGACACTTAACCGACTGAGCCACCCAGGTGGCCCGATTTTCCGTTGTTTCTTCTCCTCCCGTCACTGTCCCTGACTTCCAGTCTTTCTCAGTGATCCCGCTTCCATTGGCCAAGGCCACCCCTAATAACCTTCCAATTCGTCTGTGACCTTCCAACTCCCCCAGTACCCCCCCCCCGCAACAGTTCTCTGGCAGCCCTGGTGACACCCCCCCCACATCACCCCCCCCCCCCCCCATCCAGGTCACCTACTTCCCTTTCGACTGGCAGAACTGCACCATGGTGTTCAGTTCTTACAGCTATGACAGCTCAGAGGTCAGCCTGCAGACCGCGTTGGGTCCTGACGAGCAGAAACGGCAGGAAGTGTACATTCATGAAGGGACCTTCATTGGTGAGCGGGCATGGCTCCCACGTCCATGGCCTTTATGCTTTCCAGTTTTTTTGTTGTTTTTTTTTTTAATTTTTTTCAATGTTTTTATTTATTTTTGGGACAGAGAGAGACAGAGCATGAACGGGGGAGGGGCAGAGAGAGAGGGAGACACAGAATCGGAAACAGGCTCCAGGCTCCGAGCCGTCAGCCCAGAGCCCGACGCGGGGCTCGAACTCACGGACCGCGAGATCGTGACCTGGCTGAAGTCGGACGCTTAACCGACTGCGCCACCCAGGCGCCCCTATGCTTTCCGGTTTCTAACAGGCTGATAAATACCGCCCCCTCTCCACCCCCCCCACCCCCCATCAGCAACGCCCGGGACAGCCCTGTGGGGTCAGCAAGACAAGTTTCGCAGATATGGAAAACTGAGACTTGTTCACGTTTATCAGAGATGGGCTGCCCAGCCTGATGTCCACAGCTAGCCCTTATCACATCAGCCACCTGAGGGTTAGGATGTGGCAGATCAAGCCGTATCTGGCACCGGTAAGGTCAGGTCCTACATCTGTGTCCTGTTCTTCTCTCTTCCCCTCTCCTTCCTCCCAGAGAATGGCCAATGGGAAATTATCCACAAGCCTTCTCGGCTAATCCAGCCTCCGGCGGATCTGAGGGGAGGCGGGGAAGGACAGCGGGAAGAAGTCACCTTCTACCTCATCATTCGTCGGAAGCCTCTCTTCTACCTGGTCAATGTCATTGCCCCGTGCATCCTCATCACTCTCCTGGCCATCTTCGTCTTCTACCTGCCTCCAGATGCAGGTAAGGGAGGGAAGGGCCCTGCCAACCTCCCCACTTCTCTCCATCCAGTAACTTCTGCCTCTTCCCTTTCAGAATCCTAGGATCTCCTTCTTGGGACCAATAAGCTCCTGGGATTAGACAATTCTCCTTTATCCTTCTCCCATTCCTGGTATCCTCCCCAGCTCACTCCCCTCTTTTCCAGACACCTACTAGTCCCTTGGCCTCCTATCCCCCTTCGAAACAATAGTGACATTTCTCTAGGAGGCAGCAGAGTAACCTTGGGCAAATTCTTTCCTCTCTCTGTGTCTCAATTTCCTGATCTGGAAATGGGGACAATTGTTGTCTCGACCTGATAGGATTATTCTGAGGATGAATTGAGTTAATAGAACCGTGCCCGGCACCAAGTAAGTTCTGTGTAAGCATTAGTATTATTTTTACTATTTTTGAGCCTTGCTAGAAGTAGTATAATGAACACGTTGCATATATTAACTCAATTCTAATCTTTACAACTCCGTGAGGTAAGTACTGAACTGTCTTCCCATTTTACGGAGGAAGACAAAGAGGCTGAGAGAGTTTAAGGCATTTGCCCGACATTAGGCAGTCAGAGAGAGTTGGTGCCAGCCTGATTCACAGACAGAAATCCTCAACTCTGGTATTTAAAGCACTCTTTCCTTCTCTCTGGCATTGAGTTCTCCGTCTAGAGAAGGAGAATGATCCAGCTCTAGAACACACTTCCAAATGTAACTTCTACTTCCTCCCTGAGCAGGGCAAATCTTGGAACCCAATATTACAGGACTAAAGTAGAACAGACCATAAAAGTTATTTATTTCCATACCTTCCTTGAAGTTCGAGGTGCCTGTTGTATGCCCCAAGAATAATCAGCCACCTGGCACATCCTTATATACTTTGTTTCATTTTTAGATCCTTCAAATTGCTATTTAGTTCCTTAAAAAAGCTACAAGGGTTGGTCTATTCGTTCGTGCAATGATATTTGTTGAGCATCTATAATGTGCGAGGCACTGGGGCTACCTCAGTGAATAAAAGAGACAAAAATCTCTGCCCTCCTGGAGTTTATGGTCTAGTGGGGGAAACAGCCAACAACCAAAATAAATAAATCTATTAGGGTGTATACTGGGAGAGGACAAGTCCTAAAGAGGAAAATAAAGTAGGAAAAGCGGTTAGGGAGGATGAGAATGGGGGCAGGGGTTGTAATTTAAACTAGAATGGTCAGGGGTGCCTGGCTGGCTTGGTCGGTATAGCACGTGACTCTTGATCTCAGGGTTGTGAGTTCAAATCCCATGGGGGGTGTAGAGATTACTTAAAATCTTAAGGGGCGCCTTGGTGGCTCAGTCAGATGAGGGACCACCTCTTGATTTCAGCTCAGGTCATGATCCCAGGATCATGGGATCAAGCCCCATGGCAGGCTCTTGGTGCTGAGCATGGAGCCTGCTTACGATTTTCTCTCTCTCTCTCTCTCTGTCTCTGTCTCTGTCTCTTCCCTGCTCGTGCTATCTCTATCTCTCTGTCTAAAAAATAAATAAAATCTTGGGGCGCCTGGGTGGCGCAGTCGGTTGAGCGTCCAACTTCAGCCAGGTCACGATCTCGCGGTCCGTGAGTTCGAGCCCCGCGTCAGGCTCTGGGCTGATGGCTCAGAGCCTGGAGCCTGTTTCCAATTCTCTGTCTCCCTCTCTCTCTGCCCCTCCCCCGTTCATGCTCTGTCTCTCTCTGTCCCAAAAATAAATAAACGTTGAAAAAAAAATTAAAATAAATAAATAAATAAATAAAATCTTAAGGAATAGAACGGTCAGCCAGTGCCTCACTAAAAAGGAAATATTGGATCAGTATTTGAACAAAGAGTGAAGGGGTTGAGAGAATGTTCCCTGGCAGATATCTGGGGGGAAGAATGTATCAGGTGCAGTTAGCAGTGAATGCGGACTCTGGAGTGGGAGTGAGCCTTGCGTATTCGAGAAGTAGCCAGGATGACTGAATGAAGTAAGTGAGAAGGAAAACAGTAGGAGATAAAGTCAGAGAGTTAGCAGAAGGCCTTGTCAACCATACTAAACACTTTGGCTTTTATGCCGAAGAAGATGAGAAGCCACTGAAAGGTTCTGAGAAGGAAAGGGATGTATCTGATTTCCATTTTAACAGGATCAGTCTGGCTGCTCTGTTGAGAACAGTCAGCAGGGGTAAAGACAATGAGGCAAAGAGGAAGCGTTCTATTTTTTTTTAATTTCTTTATTTTTTAATGTTTATTTATTTTTGAGGAGAGAGAAACAGTGCGTGTGAGTGGGGGAGGAGCAGAGATCTGGGGGGGGGGCGGCGGGTACAGAGGATCTGAAGTGGGCTCTGGGCTGACAGCAGAGAGCCCCAGGTGGGGCTCGAACTCACCAACCGTAAGATCATGACCTGAGCAGAAGTCGCACGCTTAACCAACTGAGCCACCCAGGCGCCCCGAGGAGGTCTTTATAATAACTCAGACCTGAGGTAATGGTACTTTGTATGGTTATATTTTGAAAGGAAAACCAGTAGGGTTTGCTATGGATTGGGTATGGGTTAAGAGAGAGGGAGGAGAGTTGAGCAGGACTGAGAGCCACAGAAATGATGGATTTGTCACTTCTGAAGTGGGAAAGGCTGTGGGAGGGGTTGGTGGTCGAGGGATTAGGTTTTGGACAGGTTAATTTTGAGATGTCTCTTGGACATCCAGGTGGAGAAGTTAAATCGGCAGGTGGCTATAAATCTGGAGTGTAGGAGAGTAAGTCCGAGCTGGAGGTTATCGTTGTAGGACTCATCTGCCTGCAGTTGGCCCTTCCAAAAGCCTGTCCTTGAGTGGCCTGGAGACATGGTCACTGATTATGCCATGGAAATCGCCTTCTGGCAAAGCCTAATCCTTCCACCTTCCTCTCTGCCCCGCAAGGAGAGAAGATGGGGCTCTCGATCTTTGCCCTGCTGACCCTGACTGTGTTCCTGCTGCTGCTGGCAGACAAAGTTCCTGAGACCTCCCTGTCTGTCCCCATCATTATCAAGTACCTCATGTTCACCATGGTGCTCGTCACTTTCTCAGTCATCCTTAGCGTCGTGGTCCTCAACCTGCACCATCGCTCACCCCACACCCACCAAATGCCCATTTGGGTCCGTCAGGTAAGATGTCCTTCTCCAACCAGTGTTAACTCTCAGTCCTAGCATTCGTCTTTTTGTGCAGGTGCCACTCCTCTCTCCTACCAACTTCACAGACCTGAGCGATAACTACAACCCCTGGTAGAGTGTTCAAGTGCCAAGGCCAGTTGGGTGTTGAAAGGTTGCACAGTCAACTTTACCCTCCTGACATTATCATGTCCTAGATCCCCTATTGGCTTCATCAATACTGCCCATCCCTGGGTCGCAGGGAAACATCCTCGGGCTCAGGTCCTGTCAGGGTGGAAGCCGTCGGAACTTTGTTTTCGGGACAGGATGCCTCCAACCCACTTAAGTTAAGGCCGCGTGGTTGCACTTCCTCGCTGTGCAGCTGGGGGACGCGCGCACGCATGCGCAGGGATGGGCAGGTGGTTGGGGACGGTGAGCTACTTCCCTTCCCGTCTGAAAGCATGAGAGCCCCCCCACCCCCAGCCACCCACGACCAATATGCCTTTCTACTCAGCAGATCTTCATCCACAAACTCCCTCCATACCTGGGTCTGAAGAGGCCCAAACCTGAGAGAGACCTGATGCCGGAGCCACCTCCTGTAGCCCTCAGGGACTCTCCAGCAAGTGGCTGGGGTCGAGGAACAGATGAATATTTCATCCGGAAGCCACCGAACGATTTTCTCTTCCCCAAACCCAACAGGTAGTACCTACTCTCCGTCGCCTACAAGGAAGGGAGAGCGTGAACTACCGTTCCCAGAAGGCTGTGCAGAGGCAGGCGGCTTAAGGTCCCGGAAGATGCCCTTGAGCATCATGGGAAGTGTAGTACCCCTTCTGCCGCCTACTTTGCGGAAAGGCGGAAACTAAAGCGTAGAGGGATGGGAGGAATTGCGGAAGACTGGAGAGGTCGTCGCTGACGGGGAGAGCCTAGAGGGCCCTCTCACGTTTCGAAAACTGACAAGAATGTTGGAGGAGGGAATTGGGATGGAGCCTAGAGCGTGGCCAAACTGTCCCGCCTCTTCCAGGTTCCAGCCTGAACTGTCTGCCCCGGACCTGCGGCGATTTATCGATGGCCCAAACCGGGCTGTGGGCCTGCCTCCCGAGCTGCGGGAGGTCGTTTCCTCGATCAGCTACATCGCTCGACAGCTGCAGGAACAGGAGGACCACGACGCGGTAAGTCCAATGAGGGTGGAGCAGGGCAGGGCCTGGGTGGCCTTGGCTCCACCCGCCAATCCAGGCTCCGCCCCTAGCACTCGGTTTGGTTTCTGATTGGAAGCTTGCCTCCTTTGGTTCCGCCCCCTGTTTTCCGACTGGCTCTTCACTCCATCCATCTCCCGCAGTTTCGCTTTCCTCTGTCCCACGGCCCGCCCCTGTCTCAGAGCTCGTAGGACAGGGTAAGGGTAGCGGGCAGACCTTCCCTGGGGGTCTGCAGCTCAGGAACAGTTTACTCTGCCTACCCCCAGCTGAAGGAAGACTGGCAATTTGTGGCCATGGTAGTGGATCGCCTTTTCCTCTGGACCTTCATCATCTTCACGAGCGTTGGGACCCTCGTCATCTTCCTGGATGCCTCGTACCACTTGCCCCCTGCCGACCCCTTTCCTTGAGGACAGAGGGCCAAGACCCAGGTCCTCTGCGGGCTGCATTGAGAGTCCGGCGGTACTCTCGAGTCCTATCCCTTTCTGCCTCTCGACTCCACTAGGAATCCGGCCCTCCCAGGTCATTGCCTTTATGGGGAGCGAGCCGAAGTGGGACGGGGCCGACTGAAGCCTTGGGCCCCAATAGACATGCACTATCAGTTTATTTAGTCTTTGGTTTCTTGTAGAAGTTCCTTTGGATAGCAACACTAGCTTCCCAGTATAATGGAACAAAGAACAAGAACTAGACTGTAAGCCTTTTGAGGGCAGGAACTGTGCCTCGTTCACTGTAACATCCCCAGCTCCTAGCACAGGTCCTGACCTATAGGATTGTAGGTGCTTAACGTCTGTTGAGTGAATAGGGGTTTTGTTGTTGTTGTTGTTGTTGTTGTTGTTGTTTTTTCCTGGAAGGAAATGCACCAAATAATAGTGCTTATGTTTGCATGTTGAGACTAGTGATCTTTGTTTTCACCTTTCTGTAATTTATTTTTTTGTAATAAGTGTTATCTTTAGGATAAAAAAAAAAAGGTTATGTCTAAAAGGATGCATTTGTAATAAGGGGGGGGGGGGAGAAAGAGCCCTTTAAATCCTTCCTTCAGGTTTCAGCTTTGGTGCTCAAACTTTGGATAAGCTAAGCTATTGAACTGCTCTGGGCCTAAGTTTCCACATCTGTAAAATGAGGCGAATGACAGGACCTACTCCCTTAGTCTGAGGGTTATGTGACAAGATGGGAGCAAACGCATGATACAGCAGACATCAGAGGTTGCCAACTGGTGTGTTTTGTTTGACCTGTGTTGTTGACCTCACAGGTTTCAGTGTGAGTTCACTACTTTAAAAGTTTGGATAGTGCACAGAGAAATTTAGATGTCCGGCTTCCCTTGGGGGAGGGAAATTAAACATACGGTAACACCAGGCCTGACTCCC